GATAGATAGATAGATAGATAGATAGATAGATAGATAGATAGATAGATAGATAGATAGATAGATAGATAGATAGATAGATAGATAGATATAGATGGATAAATAAGTGAATAAACACATAAATAAATAAACAAATATAGCAACAAAACTGCTTACCTCATATTTAGAGTACTATGCATGTGAGATAAAGGAGCAGCGGGCAGCTGCAAGTCGGTAGAATCCGCGCCCGCTGCCATAGACTCCAGGTATGCTCCTCCTGCCTGTTGCTGCTGCTGTTGTTGTTGGGTAGGGGCAGCAAGAGTCCGCAGCTGCCTCGCTGCCTTATCCAGGGCCTCTCCAAGTGCATCATCGAGTGTTCTCCCAAGAGTCAGGAAGGAATAAGGCAACGGCAGTGTGTTGCTGGGGTCGCCTCCAAGAAATCCCCTTGCAGCAGCAGCAGCATCAACAGCATCAGCAGCAGCATCAGCAGCAGTTTGTTGGCTGCTGAGCTGTTTTTTATCTACAGAAGCTCTGCTGGCATCATCTACCCCTTCGGCTCCCCAATGCTTCAGGTCTAGGCGCGGTTGGAAGAAGAAGTGTTGTTGCACAGGCTGCTGCTGCTGCTGCTGCTGCTGCTGCTGCTGCTGAACTTCCAGCAGCAAATGAGCCTCCCGCTGGGGCACCATCGGTGACCTTAGAATATGTTGCTGCTCCCGCTGCCTCCCATCATCCGCCACAAACCCGCGCTGTAAAATTGAAAACTGAGAGTTGGCCCCTGTTAGCAGCGCACACAGCAACGGCTCCATTGGGACAACAGGGTCTCTTGCTGCTGTTACCACTGCTGCTGCGGAACCTGTTGCTGCTGCACCTGCCGTTGTAGCAGCAGCCGCTGCTGCATGCGATGCTGTTGCACCTCCCCTCCCTGCTCCTGCTGCTGCTGTTGTTGCTTCAGTTTGTGCATAAGGGTCTCCGCTGCTGTGGGGGGCCTCCCTGCTGCTGCTAAGGGAATAAACAGCAGCACCAGGAAGAGCTGTGCTGAAGGCATGCCCCTGCAGATGATGAACTCCCACAACAGCAGGCAGCACAGAAGCAGCAGCAGATATCCTCTGCCTCACAGCTTCCACTGCAGCTGCCTTCTGCTGCAGTAGCTGTTGCACCTGGTACTGCCCCTGCTGCTGGTGCTGCAGAGGCTTTACGTAAAAAGGTTTCGTGCTGTCGCTTAAGAGGGCGCGGAAGGAGCAGCACAAATGCCAAAAAGGCTCAATCGATATGGGAGGGTTGACGGGATCCTGCACCAGCTCATTTGAGAGGCCCTCTGGGGGCCCCCCCGGCGGGCCCTTGGCATTAGGGGCCCCCGTAAATTCCTTTATAACCGTTTCATATGCAGCAGAAAGCAGTGAATTTAGACTATTAGTGGAAGGAGGCTGCTGCGTCTCCTTATGAGAGGCCAACTTAATGAGGGTAGCCAGCGACGCTACAAATGCTGCTGCTGCTTCTGCTGCTACCCGTAGACACAAAGACAAGCCAGGGCCCTCCGTGAATGCAACATATTTCAGAGAAAAAGAATCGACACCTGAGCAGAAGCAGCAGCAACAGCAGCAGGCTGAGGAAGCTGCAATCAGGAACACAAGCAGAAACTCGTGCGACGCTGGAAGCAGCAGATACTGCAGCAGCAGTATCTGCTGCTGCTAGGGCAAACACAGCAACTGATTTCGGTGAAAAATCATTTCCAGCAGCAACAGCAGCCGCAGCCTGCAGATGCTCTGTTACTCTTCGCACTTTTGCCTGAATAACACTTGAATGTGCGTACAGTCGAACTATAGCGGCTCTCTTTTGGTGCAGTTTTTCCTTCATTTTCCTTAATATATTTTAATTTCTGCTTACCCGCATCGAAAAGGGCCTTTTCCATGGCAGACAGCACGCGCGCTCTGTGTGCTGCTGCTGCTGCCGCTGGACAGACACCACCAAAGGCAGCATTGAGCCTCCCCTGGCTCCACACGCAGTTCGATAATACCTCTCCCGTGCTGCAGCAGCAGCAGCAACAGCAGCAGATCCAAACAAACAAATGGGCACTCTAGGGAAGTCACAGTGGTGGAAGCAGCAGTGCAAGCAGCCGCAGCAGCAGCGCCAGTACAAGCAACAGCAACTGACGAACCTTGAAACAACGGCAGCGGCGGTGTCATCGCAAGACGTTTCTAATGCAAGACACAGCTCGGGAGCTTCTTGGCCACCCTCCAGGAAGGTTCCCGATGGCCCCCCGGGGGCCCCTGTGGCAGTGACGGTGTCTCTGTGGTCCCCCCCTTTCCAAAGGGCACCGAGGCCAGAAAGCTGGGAGGCCCCTCGTACACCATTAAAGACGCCCTTACGGGCAGACCAAGGGAGGGGCCCCCCAAGGGGGCCCGACACAAAGCCAAAGGAGCGAGCAGAAGGGTGACGCACGGATATTGCTGCAGCTTCTCCTATCAGTTGCAGCAGCAGTAGAAGCAGCAGTTGCTTTTGGAGCTGCTGCTGCAACGGCTTGTGCTGCTGCGGCTTCCTTCCAGAAGACGGGCCCCTTTCGCGGGCGGAGCTGCAGCAGAGAGGGTCTGCTGCATCGCAGCAGAAGGAAGAAGATGGGTGGGGTTGGTGTTGTAAGGTTGGAGGGGCTGCTGTGCTTCTCGCGATACGTGCTCTCATGGGGGGCCCCCCAGCAGCTTGCGGTGTCTGTGCAGCGGTGACGAGGCCTTTGAACCGATAGCATACACGGTTTCAATTGTTTAAATACATCAGATGCCCCATATCCGAGGTATTTGTGCATTTTCTACTTCTCCTGCAAGAAGACTGTGGGGGCCCCTGGGGCCCCCCTAGCTGCTAGGGTTCAGCGTGGCAGAGAGGAGGAATTGTGGCGGAAATCTCAGCAGATTTGTTTTTAATTTGTTTAGGTGAATACGATGAATATAAGTTTTATTCTTTGAACTGCATTAGACCTTAGATCGGGGCAAGGCTCCCTGGGTTCCCGCCCTCTGCCGAATCTGTTGGGTCGCAGGGCAACAACCAGCCGCCTGCTGGTGGCGATAGGCTGCTGTTGTTCATGTGTCTCCACTTGTATGTGTATCTCTGTGCCTCCATCAACAGAATATGACTGCCTGCCCTGCTGCTGCAGCTGATGATTGTGGCGGTGGCGCTGCGGTTGCACCGGCAGTAGCAGCAGCAGCAGAAGCATCAGCAGCATCAGCATCAGCAGCAGCAGACGGCGACGTTCCCTCGGAGAAAATACAGGAGCGAAACGTGGTTGTAGAGGAGTCAGTTCCTAGAGGACCGCTACCGGCATCTGCGCTGGTGTTGGCTGAGGCCCTTGATGCTTCCTTCTGCCCTGTGATAAATGAACTGGCGCAGCAGCTCGTGCAGCAGCTCCTGCTTCTGCACGAGGAGCACCCATGTTTGTTGGAGGCGGTGGAAGATTCTCCTGGGGGCCCTCCTGGTGCCCCTTCAGGGGGCCCGTCCTTCAGCCTTGAGTTAGAAGGGCGTCTAGGGGTACTCTTAGACAGAGATAAGAGCACCCGCCTGCGTCTCCCCTTAGCAAGTCACGCGGTGCTGCAGCCTTCTTTTTGTATGGGCGAGGGTGGTGGTATTGAATCAGGAGTGGAGGAGGGTCGCCCCCATGCGCGTTTTGCCGCAGGGGTTTCTTCTTCGCACTTTACGGAGCTCACAGAGCTGCTGCTGAAGTTTGCACGAGACAACAGCAAAGCTGCGTCACACCGCATGCAGGTAAACTTGGCTCTCATGGGTATAGAACCGTCGTCGGGGACACAAGAGGACTGTTTCGATCCTCAGGAAGTACAAGAAACGGCACATGGGCCCAACGACGAAGGGCCCCGGAAAAAGAGGAAAACCTTCGACGGGGAAGCCCTAGTGCAGATTAGTGGGGATGACTGGCAGGTGCTGCCTGAGGTAGAGACAGAAGAGAACTACTATAATATACCAGCCCTACAAGCTTCTGCACGGTTCAGTACTAAAATGGCTGAAATAGGGGGCCCACCGGGGGGCCGTCGGGGCCCCCGTCCTCAACGAGGGGCAGTAGCCTTCTTGGGGGGCCCCGTGAGCATTCAGGGGCTGAGCCAGGTGCTGGTGAGCCCTGGAATATACAAGAAGAACTTGCTGCAGTGGAACGTGTACACGGGTGCCGACAAGGAAGATGCATTTGCGAGTACAGATGATTGGGGGCCCCCATCAGGGGGGCCCGACGAGGCTGCCGAGAGGACGAGGGTGGATTACAGGCTCGCCATAAACTTTGAGCACAAGATTGAAGTCAAAGACTTGCAACAGTCTCTCATAAAGGCATCTTGCACTGCAAGGGGGGGCCCAGCTCCCGTTCCAGGGTACCCGGGGGCCCCCCCGCCGCCACCGTCGGCAAACAATGCAGATCCGCAGCTACGACGTAGAAGAGTAAGGCAGAGCCTTGTACACCGCAGCGGGCTGAGGGTCGACTTAACTAAGGTGCAGCAGCAAAATAGACCAACGTGGGGGACCCACCAGGACGGAAGGCGAGAGCCCACCGGCCGTTGGCAGTACGAAGTTGAGCTGGAATTACACCCCAAGCAAATTGCAAAGGCAGGCCAACCATGCATTCACTAAATGATCAATAAAATCATATTGGATGTGCCTGTGTGAAGTACACGATAGCGGGCGCCTAGCAGCACTCTCTAAACACACCAGCACAACTTAATAGGCCTACACCTCCATTGCGCTCACGGGGCTCCTTGTTCCATCGGGGGCCCGTTGAGCCCCGCCTAAGAATGGCATTAGGCTTTTTTTGAGGGCGCTTGGTAGAGACTGACTGCGCAGAGTCGATGCCTTACACTGCATGCATGCACTACGTACATTAATATCATCATATGCATCTGCGTCTTCTTGCAGCTTGTATTCGAAGTTTTATGTAGTCTATATGCGGTTAAATGCTCCTTGTATGAGTAGGGAAGGATCTGCTTTACAGATGAGACCTGTTCAATATGCGCAGGCCCTCGGGTTAACATTGATGGGCCTAAGTATATGTGTGTATTAATGTATATTGTTTCATAATATATATTATTATGTATGTAGATTATATAAAAAGGTTTATATATATATTCTTGTGGGACTGTTATGTGTGCCTCGCAGGCAATACTGCATCAGCAGAAAACAGGAGATCCTCGTCCTCTGTGGTGTTTATGCTCAACTTTTCTGTCTTTGTTACGCGAGTTGGCGGGCTGCCTCAACTCCCCCCAGAGAGTGAATGGAGCCGATGCGTCTAAGGGGGATCTTGGGGGTAACGAGACGGAGCTGGCGGACTTGGGTCCGGTGCAGATGACTGCAACGGAAGAAATCGCCTTTAGGCACTTTATGTCAGAGAAGCTGCCGCTTATAGGCGACTATTCCTACAGGGCAGTCGCCCACGAGATGGAAGAAATAACCCGACAGGGCACAGAACAGGTCTTGTCCTTAGAGGAATTCCTACGGCAACCAGATGCACAAAAGAAGTGCCTATATACAAACAACAAAACAGACATATCCGGGCCTTGGATACCGCACAGAGACAGAGAAGGAAATGTACACCTGGTGGAGGTGCGCCGCAAAGAAGCGGCTAACTAGCTTCATATGGGATATATATATATACCTGCTCATATATCACTTCCTCAAATTCCTCTGAGAGATATAAGAATCTCTACGTATATTTATTATATATATGTATAATACATATAATGTATATATGCGTATATGTATATATATGCATATATACGTATAGATATTTATACATTTGTATAGATACGATAAGGGATTCTTTTTTTATTAATTTTTAGTTGTCTTGTTATCTGCAGTAATGCCGTTCTCTTTGTGTATGCATGCCTCTCGCGATACTGCTGCTACTACTGCTGCTGCTACTACTGCTGCTTCTACTGGCGTCACTATCACTGCTGTCGCTGCTGGTGCTGCAGCAGGTTACATATTTAGTCTTACGTTATATGCGACACAAATAGAAAGGGATGGAGGGAGAGAGGAGACGGCATGTTGTTGACTTTAACTTCTTAGTATGAGTTATATCTAAAACTCTCTCTGTGTCTCCAACCCTCCACTTCAAATAGCAGCATTATGGATGCACACATGAGCGTACATACAGATTGTTATAATCAAACTTCCGTTGCTTTTTCTTGAACACTACCCGACAGCATCCAGCGGATGTGAGACTTGTGCAAAGGCATGCACATCTAGCAACATAGCATGCACGGCTTGCTATTAACAAAGGCAACAGCATCTGTGGCTAGGAGACGAGGGGGAGTTACGCAGACCCTAGAGGAAGAACAGACAGAACTGGGGGACAGTAATTCCCCGTGAGCTTTGTATTTAAATTTTCTTGTTCTTTTTACTGCAGCCTTGCGACTGAGGGGCTCAAGGGAAGGTGTGGCATTATCTTCTGCTTTCTTTGGTGCACTCGTTTCTTCCCACTTCCCCCTATATATGTCCCCACTCAAAAATATTTAAACGAGGAAAAGCAAATGGGCTGCAGCACTATCCTTACTCCGTTTGTTTAGCCTCAGCTTAGCATGTACTGCCACCATTTTTTCTCTTTGTCGTTGTGTTCCTCAGCTTGCAGCTTCTCTTCTTCTGGTCCCTTATTTCCAAACCAGAGTTCTGGGAGTTCCTCTTCGCCTTCATCCTGATCAACAAGAACAGTTTAGGTGTACATACACCGCAGTTTTCACGAAGAATTCGCCGTACTACGCACCAATTGGGGCTCCGCTTCGAGTGGCTCAGGAGCTGCTGTCTGTTCAACTGCAGCAACGGGAAAATCCAGAGGCTGCAGATCGGCTAATGCTTCCTCTTCTTGTTCCTCTTCTGTTGTTTGCTCCTTGCTATTGTTAGCAGCCTTATGCGATTTTGGTGGTGGCAAGTGCCTCAGTAGAAACAGAAGGTCTTTAGTTTCTTCTATTGATCCTATCTGCCCTTGTGCGAACTACGCATGAATGAATTTGAAGCAAAACAAAAATTATGTACCTTTTCTCCTTCATCTGCGTCTGCATCAGGCTCCGCCTCCGTCTTTGGTTGTTCAGAATCCTCCTTCCCTTCTTGTTCAGCTTTTTCTGCTTCCTCATCAGCGAGGGCTTGTTGCTCCTCTTTCTCGCTTTCTTGCATATCGGAAAGTACTTCAGTCTGTAACTCTCCCATTGACGCCACCGTCTCTGGCACTTCCTCAGATTCTGTGGCGTCGGCTATTTGTTGGAGTTTGTCTGTTGTTTCTTCAGTGATGTGCTTTGCAATTTCCGCTACTCTTGTTGCCTCTTTGCGTTCATGTTCTGCTTTCTCTTCTTCCGCCTTGGCCTCCGCTTCTTCTGCCAGTCGGGCCGCCGCCTCGGGGCTTTCCTCCCCGACCGCCTCGGCAAACATCGCGTCTAGTTTCGCATCTGCTGCCTTTGCATCTGCTTCTGTTGCCCCAACCTCAGCCTCCAGCGCAGCGAGCTCTTCTTCTAGCGCATCCGCTATCTTCTGCTCCTCTACCGCCAAGGACTCGACAGCGTGCTTCTGTTTCTTCACCTCTTCCTCCTCCTCGTGGATACGGTGCTCTTCAAACTCCCTGGCCCTCTCTTCATCTTGCTTATCAGCTTGCTTGAGGTGCTCGAGCTCTTTTTCCGCCTTTGCTTGTTTCTGTGAAGTTCACCTCCTTTTATTTAAACACAGGTGCAAGTACCACAGGAGAAAGGTACCTGCTCTGCAACTGCCAAGTCCTGTTTTGCCTTTTCCTCCAACATTCTTTCTGCAAAAGATCTGTCAGCAAGACCTGCCAGCGCCTCGTTACTGGTCATTTTCATGGTAGCCTCGTGAAGACTTCTGCCCCTCTCAATCGAGCTCCTAAGCGCCCTGCCTGAAGTAGAGTGCTGTGCTTGGTTTTCGTTCCAGCATTGCTGCTTGCTTGCGCACCTAGCTCCCTTGTGGTTCCTCCCTAGGGGCAGCACGAAGACCCATCAACGATAGCGTTGCGTTCAAGCGCTATCGGATCTTACTTACCCTTGTTCGTGACACGTGTTCCACGACATTGCAGCATTTTGGAGGTGGGCATCGTTTACGGATAACGAGCCGCCTGCCATCCAACTCGTGCGCAGCAAGTTCCTTGTTGTTTCGCCTTTGCGACAAGGTTAGTGAAGGCGTTATGATGCACGCAAAAAACAAAATGACGAAAATCGTCATGAAAAAACGCCCAATGCGCGGCTTCCCCGCCGCTCCAAACACCCGAAATCGACAATCGCAAAGACTCAAATTAAAGGAAAAATAACTCCACACTGCGTAGTGCCGAGGCGGGCACTGCGTGCGAAATGGTTTTAAACGCATTATGGTGCCATGTGTGTAGCCAGGGCGCTCGGATAGTTGAAGTTTCCCACGCCGGCTGCATTGCAACGGCAAGTAAGACGAATTATGTCTGTACACCGCAGACTGCGGAAGTGATCCTATATTAAATATGTATTTTTTAAGCAAACAGGGAATTCGTATGCCCAATATTGTTCATCAGTAAGGTTTTCTGTAGAGATCCCCTCAAAAATTCTCGACCATACGGAGAATCCGGTTCGCTTGAAATGCTTGTTTCTCATCTGCATCACGAGTGCCCTCGCCTTCCCTGAAGTTGATTGTGTGCGCTATATCGTTATGCCAAGCACTACGAGACCTTCATAGATAGGAACTTACAGTGATTAGGGCCACTGAGGGTGGGAAATTAGGCCAAGTAGTTGCATTTGATTTCGGCTGCTCTAAGCCTAACTTCCAGCCAATTTGCAAACCTAAAACAGGGCAGACTGGGTAGCAGAGCAGACACCTATGTCTTCACCATGCAAAGTACAGCTCCTCTCAAGCACCCTTTTCACATATTGCTGCAACTATGGGCATTTAAAGTGTAGAGTTAGGTGCTATTGTGGGTCTCGTAATCGCCTCAGTGGGCACGCACTTTTGAGGGACCGGCGGTCGTCGGCGGTGACGTCTCGGGAGGCTCTGGACCTCACACGACTTACCTGCCAGCTTTGGGACAAATCAAATGTACACTTTATGTTTTCAATTGTTTATCTTTTTCACAGAAAAACTCTTGCAATAGGGGGCCAAATGAAGGGAGTCTTACGCTCTTCCGTTACGCAGCCCACCGCGCACGACCCCGCGGTGACCATGGACATCCTACCGCGGAATCTTTTCAGAAACTTGCTCTCTGTTCCCTTATACAATGCGAAAATTGTGAATGGAGTTGTTAATTTTTTTTTTCATTAATTTGACAGAGGTACCTAGGCATTCTCAATGCAACAACTGGTACAGCGCCTCCTTAGCACAGTAGGTAGTGCGTTTGATTCGTAATCAAAAGGTCGTGGGTTCGATTCCCACAGGGGGCTTTTCCCGTTTTCCCCGAAGAGTTCTGCCTCGTTGGTATTTCCCCCGATCTTGTTCTTCTCTACTGGAGAATGCATAAGTTGCAGCCCAGCAGCTGCACTCGTTTCAACGCCATATACGCGCTCACAAGCTTCCGGTAGAAACTATCGAAACTGTCAACATCAGTACATCAAGTATACATTAATGTGCAGCTTACTGTACTCATAACGAATAATACATAATAAGGTTTATTCCCTGGAAATGGTTGTGACAGAGCATACACTGTTTGCTTATTGAGTAAACTTCAGTTCCCGTTGTAAATTCGTGCACGATCTGCCTTATCCACACCCAATGATTTAAGCCCTAATCACCCTCGAACACAAGACCCGCTGCTATTGTACTGGGCAGCCGCTGGCCTGCCCCCTCCTCCCTACTCCAGCAATGGCAATGCCACGTTTTCACCCCTTTACTGTACGCCCCCTTAGAAGCGCCCACTGTGACCGACCACTCTCAAATGAGAATAGCAGTAAGCGGGAGATCAGCTGCCATGCTTGCCCCTGATTCACGAAGTTCACAAGCTGTTCCTACCGAAAAACTACTGTGCACACACAAGAAATCACAGTCTGCACGCTCTTATGTAGGATACTGTTCGCTCGGTGTTTCACTAACTAATTTGGCCCATGTTGATGATGGTCCGACTTACACAGTTACTAAACGACAGTCCCGCTTACATGTACGCCTCTCTTGGCATACTCACGTTCCGCCTGTGGGTATAACCGGCGCCCGAATGCAGCGACAACGCTGGCGGCTAACCGATAAAAGGCCTTACACTCATGTTGAGACCAGCTTACAGAAAGGCAGCCTGCTTAGCGCCTCCCTGGTGGAAGCGAATAGAGCAAAAGCCCGAAATCGTTCTCCAACTACACGCTTTCTTCACCGTATTCCCCATGAAAGATTATTCACAATATACTCTGCGGTTCGCCGAGAATAAAATGGTGGTATATCCTGCAACTATACCATCTGCATACAATGCGGCTTTAGTGCGCGGATGGCCATTAGGAAATATCGGTTAAGCTAAGTGTTTACAGCCTCAAGCTTATGGTTTAATGCTTAAGAAAAGAAGGAACGAATAACCCTGAACTAACATGCCGCTTCTACGAGCCTCCGCTCTTCTCGTACATTCTGGCTTTGACGCTGTGTGCCAGGATTTTTGCAGTCTTTTTCATTTCGAAGAACTTCTCGTCAGTAATATACTCTGAGGCTACTGCCATTAGGTCTGTTAGCCCGATGGGGTTGGTTGGGGACAGCCGAATGCCCCCCACCACCGGCATGTTGAACCTGCAGCGAAGAGGCATCACATCACGCGATGCATCCCAAGTGCAGCAGCAGCAGCAGCAGCTGGCTTGCTCTACTCACAACTTACTCAGCACGAACACATGATTAACACAACGTAACCCACCCATGTCAATGCAAAAGCCACCCACCTCAACACAAAAAAGCCAAGCTCAACACACCAAACCCCGCCTCAACATAGCAAACCCCACCTGAAGTACACGTCCAGCCTGTCCGCCAACCAGTGCAGCACTTCTCGATGGCCGCACATCGTAGCAGCCGTAAGACCTTCAGTAGCGAACGGCTCCTGCACAAAATCAGGGCCATTGTCATTCTTTGTGCTTCACATCTAAAACCGTGTTGAAGGCGTGACAAACCCTCTATAGTAAATGCCAAGCCACTCCGGAAGATGCTTTATACAATCCTCGCGTCCAGACTGTACGACCCAAGTTCTTAAAGTGAATTTGGTACACTTTTTAGCACATTGCACTACGGAGAAGTGTCCACCATACTGGTTCAGTATATTGTGTAGACCACACAGGAGAACAATATTGTTCGCTTTATTGCACTGTGTGCTTATTATACTGCATTATATTACCAAAGGGCCCCGCCGAGCAGCAGGAGTGGTGAAGAACTCGCGAGCTCCCAAAGACACCAGCAACTGCAGGTCCGACTGTAAGCAAAAACCAGCAGCCCGACAGCAGCAGAGGTGTTCATCACGTATCTATATTGACACATATGGAGTCCGTTCTGCACAGTTCCTTATTTCTCCCCCGTCCCCAACTCCTCAATCGCACTTCGCAGGCTGAGGTGTAGGTGCTGCATGTGCAGCCTACTCCTACACAGCTTCGCTTCCAACTGCGTATAGCTGCCAGAAATGGCCCCTGACCTCACCTGAATGAAACTCCGCAATGGTTTGTGAGCAAGGCGCGCGCACTCATCCAGCCCTGCAAGTGTGGGGTTGGCTGCGAGAGCATCTGTGCTGGTGGCGCCCGTGAGGCGGACCGGAGGCTCCACAAAGAATCCCATGCTTGTCAAATCTTCAGGACGAATTGGCCTGCACCGAACACACTATGCGCGCCACACGCCCCCTTCATTCCCATTTTCTAGCCCTCATTCTGCGCAACATAAACCCCGCAACATTCGCATGCACCCCAGTTCAACGCTGAAACACAGCAATAGAAGCTACAGCAACAAATTACCTCAAGAACCCCGGAGAGGCGATCGTTGCCCACGCTGCCACCCACAGCGGAAAGCGGCTTGTGCCTCGCAATGAGCGCACATGACTAGCTGCAGCAGCACAATCTACACCACATCAATTTACCACTATCCAGCTTGCCGGGGAGCACGCTTTTAAGCTTTCACCTCTCCCCGTACAGCACCTGCATACAGTAGAGGGCCTCTACAAGCGTTCTTGCCTGGTGAAGTGTGCTCATAGGTGCGCAGCAAGAATGCCTGGGGAGGGGACTGCGCAAGGTTGCTGCACGTAATCAGCCTGTAAACACACCAGCACACCTTCTTGAGAAAACGGTGGTTCAGTTTATTCCCGACGGACGGAGCGTTGCTAACTTTTGACGCAACAAGGCTCCTGCCTTCCCGTGGTACTCCTGCTTGTGTGTAGGTCTGTCTGTCGGTTCGTTTTGTTCTATCGTTCCGTTTGGTTGCGTCGTGTTGTGCTCCATTGTGTTGCGTAGTAGTGTTATTCTGCTGCGCTGTGTTCTGTTCTGTCCAGTCAGTGTGTTTATCAGTCCGTCTGCCTGTCCGTCTGCACTCACCCAAGAGGTGCGCTGACGGTGTTGAGGAAACGCCAGCCGAACTTGTCTACGAGTTCACTCCGCAATGTCTTGGGTTCCATGCCTGCGCAGCCGGTAAACACATCAACGATTCAACACCAAGTGCACAGCTTCACCCATTCACTACCCAATTAAGCATGTGTCACACACCACAACTACTCAACAGGAATCAGGAAGTCAGGCATCAGACCCGAAATGCGTGCAGCAGCACACGAGGGATTCCCATCAAATCTGTCCAAATGAGACAATCCCAGCCCATCTCTAAGCATTCGTGAACAAACAGAAACTTCTATGGAACTCAAGTTGGTAAATATGCAAAACGTCAGAATGAGGATTGGCGACGCAAAGGATAGAGGCACACAGCAGGACGAAAAGCGAATCAAGCAACAAGGGGGAAAACCAGCAACGAGCAGCAAGCAAAACGAACAAGAGGAAGCGGAACAAACAACAAAGCGCGAGGGACACAGCTACACACAACCACAGGCTACGCCTCCCCTGAGAAGGGGCAACAATATGAGCTGTCAAAGTCACAAGACCTATTCGGCTCTCTTCCTCACAACTGCCATCAATTGTTTAGCCGCAGCAGACTCATACTAAAACATATGACGGTCACCGAAAAGCAACAGTTGCGAGAATAAACAGAGAGGAACGAAGTAGAAAAATAGGAAAAAACTGGAACAATTTGAAAATACCAAAGTAATCAAAAGAACCCAACAGCCACACACATTCACCGCTACGGAAAGCTAGCATTGGAACAGAAGTAAATGGAACGTTCTGAAACAACAGCTATACCTAGAAAGTGGTATTTGTTCTGGTCAACAATCCATATCTGGCTCATATAAAAACAATAAATGAACATGCGCACTCTCACCTGCTACCAACTGCATGAAGAAGGCGTTCTTCCAATCTGGTGCCAATTCGTCTAAGTTCTTTCCACCGATCCCTGCCCACTCTCTCAACAGACGAACCACTTGAATGCCTCGAAGCAGCGCCAGCGCTAATAGACCACCTGCGCGCAGAGCAGTTAACTGATCCGAACGAGCTGCTCTGTCTCGCCCCCAATGTGTCTTCATCAGAGAAGCAGCCCCCTGGCCCTACAAACGACGGCCGAACACAACTCGAGCTGGAACTCTACCTTCCCTACTGCAACGCCGCTGCAGTTGCAACAGTTCTGCAATGGTGCTGCCGCTGCTGCAGGCTTTCTCCAAGTGCATCTAGCCCACTCGTCTGCTAAGTGCGGCCTCTTTTGTTGGGCGGGCTGTGGTAGCATGCTTTTATTGATGTAGGTAAAAGTCAGGCTCCAGTGCTTGTCTAGTTCCTTTTATGCTATTCCCTCACAGCACCCCGGAATCCCACTTTTGACTAATATTCCGAAGCAATGGAATCCACAACTGCTATGTTGTTGAGCAGCACTAAGTCCAAAAGGCAAATTTGCTTCCAAAATTAATTTGCACATTGGCGCGGAGAAGGACGCCTTAATTACCCTACCTGTTCCCGTGCCGACAATGACGTCGAAGCAGCTTGCCAAGTTCAGCCGGCGGTCCCCCAAAAGAAATCGCACTTCCTTCTCCAGTTGCCTCAACATAACCAGCTGTCCCACGGCAGCGTACACGCCCGCGCCGTCGAGAGACAAGACACACTTCCTGAAAGACACCAGCTGCAGCAAATGGTGCAGGACTTCTTACATCTGCTCAAGGCAGCTACTCAGCAGCTCTCCCCTGCCATAAGAAGGGGAGAGCTGCCGAAGGGATTCTCTCATCCTCCCGAGGACAGAGGCAAACCCATCCCACTGCTGGCTTTGGTGTATTCGCTGTGATGAGAAGGCAACCGGAATAAAGTGGTGTACACTACATCACACTTGTGTTTGTCTCCCATACTTTGTGTGAAAAAAATACAGGTGTACAAATCCCCAATTCCCTCCCCTTTACGTTCTGAGCGAGGCCTGCAGGCAAGCAGTGCGGCTGTGCCTGAACGTTACCTGTCTGTGGGGCTATAGAGACTCGGTAGCTCCTTGTAGAGAGGCAAAGGAGCCCCACAGTAAACCAGTTCCAGCGTAGCACTGAGGGACATCCCTAAAGAGAGGCTAGTCCTGAGTTCAATGAAGAGGTGACTCCCTGCAACCACAAAAGGCCAGCATGACCACCCTCCCCCCCCCC